CTTAAATTCTATCGGTTTAGTTAAAAATCAGTCTTTGACTGATTCAGCGAATCAGTGTCAATTATGTTGAAATTAATGAATAATTTTTAATACACCTAAAATGTTCGTAAAGAAAAGGAAAGAAGAAAGGAAAAAAACTATGATATTAATTATAGTCCAGACGAACATTAAAATTAAAACTGAATCTTTAATAATTTAATCTTAATATAACAAAGAATGTACACTGATTAGTTGGCAATAACAACCTCCAATATTTATAGTCCGTTACAATTGGAAAGTAGACCTGAGGAAGCCCCTCCAAATCTGTCTGCAGGTTGAGTGTCTGTCTCCTGTGTAGCATCTCTGACACCAATCTCTTTCTGTGCTGGGGTTCCTCATTCAAAATTGCAATATTTTCCCAATCGAATTCGTGGTCTGCTTCCAATTAGTGATCTGTTATGATCGAATGTGTGGTTGTGTTCCACCGAATATGATTCCTGTACTCAGCTATTCTCGTCTTTAGCTGTCTTCCTGTTTGTCCCACATATCTCGCAATCGCAATCTTTGCAACAGATCTTGTATACCATTAAATTTCTTTTCATACGGAAGAGGATCCTTATGTATCTTGATGAATTCATGCAACTTATTAACACTATAAAATGATATTCTATTAGGTGTTGGAATTAATTCGTAGCGTTTTACAAGTGATGGGAAGTACTTTCATTAATGTATTTTTTAATGCTCATGTGAAATAAATAACATTCTTTCATTAAAAAACGCTACGAATTAATTCCAACACCTAATAATATCCTCGCTTTAATCTATTGAATTTCTCGGAACGTATCGGAACGTAAGGAATAGTAAATCATGAAGATCACGATATTACTATTATGGCGTTTCTTTCTCTTAAAATTAATAATGTTTTTCAATCGTTTATTAATATTATCAAAAATAAATTCTAACGGATAATCATTCTCTGACAAGATTTTAATTATAAAACAAAAATTATCAAGATGAAATTTAGGATTCGAAAGTAAAATTACTCTATCTACCAAACCGGCAATCGTGCCCCATTTTTGAGAAATCGGATGATGAGACAAGAAATTCAAATACCCGAAAACATTAATTTATGATTTCAATAAAATTCGATTTTATTATTATTAATAATTAAAGTAATATTCAAAAAGTTTAACTTATCGTCACCGACTTCCATGGTAAATTGAATCTTCGGATGCTAAGAGTTAAAAATGTCGAGAACCGAATTAATCAAAGTGGTAGGTACCGCCATAATTATATCGTTTACATCTATCTATAATAAAATGCTAGCAGTGATCGAATCAAAGACAAGGCTCTACTTTCCAAATTTCACATAACTAGATCAGCAACGACGAGAAATAACGGATAGCCCATGGGAGTACCATAGTTTTGCTTATATATAACATTATTAATTATTATTAAAAGTGAAAAACGTTTAAAACAAATACAACAGCTTTAATAAATTCGTCTTTCGGTGAACAACAATTCCTAGAAATATACTGCCAATAATCATTAATTGCAATCGATTACAATCGGCATATTGGTAAAAAGACTAATTACATCCAAATGAAATCAAGGTATGTTCATTATTCAAATGAGAGCCATTGAGCTTCTCAATAATTTGGAAATTATTCTCTATATGACTATCCGCTTTAGGGATATTTTTTATAATTATGCTGTGTAGAAAAATTGCTAACTGGTAAAGAGAACTATTCAATGAGGAAATTATCAAATGAAAAGGACAATTCTGTTTATGTATCTTTGGCAAGGCATAGACTCTCGGAAGTATCCCATCATTGCAAAACAACATCCTATATTTTGAATTAGATATACATGTATAATCCGTATCCCTCCACTTCACAAGCCCCCACTTCCATTCCCCGCAAACTTGTAACAACTCCTTTTGTGGGATCTCTCTTAATGACTTTATACATCTCTGTATCTGGAGCTCTCAGTCACTTTTGATACATATATTTTACCATCCAAAGCTACAGTGACATTGCCTTTATTAGCCCGAATAAAAATGATATTATTTATTTCTTTAATAAAAATCTTACTTTCTTTAGTTAAATCTAACAATTTTTTATCCACTTCATTATGCTGTATGGGAGACGACGCGAGACTGTTCAATATGGGAAGGGAATGAATGGAAACCGCTATCGATAGGTAATTTGTATTTATTGTTGCCAATACACTTAATAAAATCAAATATTAGCTGCAATTTATTTCCAGATGGCAAGGCAAAATTCTCTCCCAGCTGTAGAAAATTTTGTATATTTTGAGATATAGAAACGGATGATAGATTCACGAACCACCCATTTCTTGGTAAGAGAAATGATGGAGAAGGGATCAATGAAAGAAAGGCCTGGAGTTCAATATATATTTCATTAACTGTGTTAGTAGAATTGAGCCTATCTGGATGCAAACCTCTTACCAAGAAATGGGTGGTTCGTAAATCTGTCAACCGTTTCTATACCTTAAGGATTCCTTTTCATGCAACGTTAAAACGCTCATTTTCTAGCATCAAGAAATATTGAACCTAACCTTTGTAATTTGTAGCGAAGAGGCAATAAATTTCTGCCATGTATCAGAGACTATTGACAAGATAGCAGACAAATTGAATATTTCTGATTTATTTATGTCTACATAATTTGGGAATCGTTTGAGGAAATTTAGGAAAAATATTTAAACATTTGGGTAATAATATTTTTCTTGTTATTAACAAATTTTATCATGCGTTAAGTTAGCAGACAACGATTTTATTTAATGTGTTTCATAAATGGAATCGTTTTATGAATTAGAAATCATTTAGGGAAAATGTCTTCATTGTTATTTTCATTTGGGAAAAGTCGCTATTTTGTATAAATTCAATAGCTTTACACATATTGCGAAAACGAACAATGTCCAAATATAGTCGGTGTAGTAAGTGTAATACAATGAATGTAGTAAATCTAAAATCATTAAAAATTAACCAATTAAGTAGCCCAAATCTAATTGTGCAGTAAGAAATCAATTTAATTATGAACTTAATTATGTTCGATTTTCTTCACATTCAACTGTGATTGATAAATTTCTTATGGCTCAAGGCTTTCTACTTTTATTGTATCATCTGAGTGAAGTTCACGAACGCAGTCTAACGTTGGAATATTCAGATTTCAAAGTAAAACATAAACTTTGACATAAAAATATAAAATGAGAAAAAGATTGTTGTAATAGTACATGTTATTTTTTTTATTTGTAAATATTATTTAAGAACATTTTAAGAAAAAAAATTTCAATATTTATTTAATTTATTCTTTGTTATTTTCCAGTAAAGGTGGACAAACAGTTTTATGATAAAATCGCACTGGAAAATAAAAAAAATAAACGAATAAACATTTCTTTTTTCTTGAAGTGTATTTAAATAATAATATTTACAAATAAAGAAAATAACATATACTATTGTAACAAATCTTCTTCTTCATTATATATTTTTATGTTAAAGTTTACTTCGAAATCCGAATATTCTAATGTTTGACTGTGTTCGTAAACTTCACTCGGATGATACAATAAATATATTATAGAAAGCCTTGAGCCATAAGAAATTGACCAATCACAGTTGAATGTGAAGAAATTTAATTGAACATAATTAAGTTCATGATTAAGTTGATTTCTTCTACACGTAATTATAAATCCGAATTAATTTTTGATGATTTTAGAGGTTTACTACACATTCATTGTACTATACCTAATATATCCACTACAACTACTGGGCATTGTTCGTTGCATTTTCGCAATATGTGTAAATCTATTAAATTTATATAAAATAGACTTTTTCCAAATAAAAATAACAATGAAGACGTCTTCTCAATCAAATGATTTCTAATCGATTTCATTCATAAAACACATTAAATAAAATCGCTGTCTGCTAACTTAATGATAAAATTTGTTAATAATAAGAAAAATACTATTACCCAAATGTTTAAATACTTTTTTCTAAATTTCCCCAAACAATTCCCAAATTACGTAGACATAAATAAATCAGAAATATTCAATTTGTCTGCTATTTTGTCAGTCATATATCAGGGTGCCGATGGACTAAAAAGTTTGCAACACTTTTTTTCGGAACCCTATTGCAAATTCTTATGGGGAATTTTCATAACCATGATAAATTCGACAGGTCCCCATGGGAAGAAGCTCCTATCTTGCTATAAATTCTCATGAGTTTTTTCATGGATTCCTGTAGAGGGCTGCGCACAATGAAAGGAATAAGGAACAGAGGATAAGGAAACAGAGGACAGGAAACAGAGAATAAGAATTTCAATCTATCAGAAACTGTGTATTCCACAATACATGATTTCTGATAAGTTAAAATTCTTAGGATGAAATCAGTGTGGAATAGGATTGCGGAATAGAGAATACGCCATTGAAACAACCACTCAGCGCTATTCCGCATTTGATGTTGCGGAATAGGGAGTGCGTTCATTGTTCTTGTAACAAATCATCTTATTTTGAGAAGTTAAAATAATTTGATGCTGATTGATATGATGGAATTGTGTCATGTCGAGACGAATGAAGTAAAATGACAAAATCTAAGCATAAATATAGATATCATGATAAAAAAAACAATGATGCATTACGTACGATTTCAGTATGCCCTTTTCCGCACTTTTTCATCACGCCAGTTTTGTGTGTTATGTTCACACGATGCGAAAAAATGATAGTAAATGCGTTAAAAAAAATTAAAGCAGTTTAAAAAATTGTCATGAAATTGTAAATATTAATTGTAAAACATTAAATACTACAACAGCGATTTTTACAATTTGAAAAATTATATTTTATTTTAATAAGCAAATTATTGATATGAAGTTAGTAGTTTTTAAATTATATTCATGCTGGATACATCTTTGACGCATCATGAACATAGCACACAAAACTTGCGTGATGGAAAAGTGCGGAATAGCGCTGATTGATTGCTTTAATGATGCATTCTGTATTCCGCAGTCCTATTTCGGACCGTGTAATTTCACCTTTATTTCCTGTTCCTTATTCCTTTCATTGTACGCAGTCCCTAAGATTCTGTAGGAGCTTGTATAATGTAAACAATTGATGACAACAGAGAAAAATATCAGGGCACTCCTCGTCTCGAACTCAGGCATGGTCTCTTCTCTGAGTTGGTAAACTTCCGTCCTACCACTGAGCCACACAGCTCTGACGCTGATAGTTTCTCTATTATGCCTATTTCCTCTAAATTTTTTACAATAAGTATCTATAGGATTTACGCAGCATGTATATATAGGATAACATAGGAAATTTTTCTATAAGGTTTTACATAGAAATCTATGGCATCAGTCCATGAAAAGAGGCTCCTATAGGATCGCATGGGAAAAAGAATAATGTGCACGTTGATACAATCGGACCTAAATGATAAACAGGATGTCTCGTATTTGGGACTATTTTCGTGTGCAGATAAAGTAGACTAAACTAAATCAAAAAGTTCTGTATCATTACGCAATTTTTAAAATAATTAGCTTCTAAAAATTACCGAATAAGGTAAAATCGACGCATAAGACAACTTTAAAATATTTTTCAGAATTCTCTATGATATATTTTAAAGATGTTTTTCAAAGAACTCTTAAAGATATATTAAAATTGTCTCATGCGTTGATTTTAGACATTCTACTTATAAGGTAATAATTGCGAAAATTGCAAAATGATAGAGGACCTTCCGGTTCGATTTAATCCGCTCTATCTGCACACAAAAATAGTTCCAAATATTTTGAGATATCCTGCATAGTCCTAAAATAGTCACAAAAATTCTGAGACACCCTGTATAATCTCTATAATTTATTGAATCATCTAAAAAGTATCCGCGGTTTTTTGTCACTAGATAGTGTTGATGGTCAACACATCTAGTGACAAAAAATCGCGGATACTTTTTAGATGACCCAATAGATACTTATAGAAAATATACGGAAAAGACCCTCATAGAAACTAAATACCTATAAGATATTACATTTTGACATATAAGAACATGTAGATACACATAGGATAGAGGAGATGTGCACATGTCATGGTAGCCTTTAGCATTTTCAGTCTCCATGGGGCACCTCTTCTTTGTCTTACGTACGCCTACATGTTACTATTTGTTTGATTACACATCAAATTGGTATCCTATAGACATTTTAGTTCTCATGGGGCATCCACATTCCTATGAGTACCTCTATTGCATGTTACTCTATTTGCATTCCTACGTATGCATACTGCGCAAATCCTATGAGTAACTACACAAACTCCTACAAAATCTTATAGTTCTCTATAGAATCCATAAAAAAATAGGAATTTACAACAGGACACGCACAGAGCAGAGTCAATAAATACTGCGGAAGTAACGCACGCACACACGCACGCACGCACGCACGCACGCACGCATACATGTGTGTATATATATATATATATATATATAACATTGTATATGTATGAATGCATAGACGAGTGCGTGTTGCGCAGCGCGCCGTGGCTGGCGTCTATTGCATTTACACTTTACAACCGTGAACACCGTAATTGAAACCACCGCTCTACATAACCAAGCCGCTCTGCCAGGTGTAATTAAAGCGACTCCCTTGTAACCGTCCACGGCGACAGCCGATCTCCTGTAACCGACACTCGGGAGGACGTATCTTCCCCCGTACGGGGGTAAATGCAAAA